CGGCTGCCGGCTGCCGGTGTTGGTGGAGCGGGTGGCCCCCGGCGCGCTGGTGGTCACCTGGAGCTGCGGTGAGCGTCGCTTCACGGGGATCCTGCTGGACTGCACGCACAGGTGAGCCGCCCTGTGGCTCCGGCGCGCTGGCCCCTCCAGGGCCCCGGGCTCCGCGCTCCGCGTCCCCAGCTCCGGGTTTCCGGGAGCGCGAGCTCAGACGCTCCCTGGGGCGAAAGTGGCTTTCCAAGTGGGCTCGACTTTCCGGGGACTGCGAAGTGGCGGAAGGAACTGGGGACACCGGGTCGGACACTAGGGCTCGGTGTGGGGGTCAGGAGCTTCCACGCCCCCTCCCGGCCCCCGCGTGTCGCCGCGTACCCCAACTCCCGCACGTTTGCCACATGAACTCACTTTTCTTTGTTCGGACGCACTGTGGGATTCAGCAGTCTTCACAAGTGTCTTGGCCAAGGGGGGAGGGGGCAGATGCGCGCCGGAGGTCACCTGTCACTTGCTCAGAAGTGGAGCGCGGTGTCTGATGCCACGGCCTCCACCGGGCTCAGAGGACTGACTGTGGGCACTGTGCCCAGCGCAGGACTAGAGGGCAGCGTTTGGGGTGAGGAGCGTGGTGCTGAGGAATGAGAAGTTAGAGAACACCCGCCTTCCAGCTGCTCCGAGGTGGCAGATTTGGGGTGATCCCCACCCAGCCCCCGCCCGCACCTGTGCGCTGCTGTGTAGCTCCCAGGGAGATAAGTGTCTCGGATACCGGTCACGTGGTAATGAGCTGTCCCTGGGATAAATGATTAGGCATTAATCACACGCCCTGCTGGACTTCATATTGAAATGGGGACACCCCCCTTGCAGAGTCCCACTTTTCCCTCTGAGCTAAGGGGTTTTGTTTGCTCCGTCAGGGGACAGGATGAGATAGGATGGTCCTGCCGCCATGATCTCCTCATTAGATGTGTCAGGAACCGTTTATGCGCAGGTCATGTGACTTAACATATGGCCTCCCCGCCTGGCTGCCCTGCTCCTGAGGTGACCGCAGGGGCACGTGGCAGGACACAGTGACTTGGAGACTGCATCAGAGAAACTAGCAGTGAGGTACTGTGGTCCCTGCTCCCCCACCCCTGTCTTCCCTCAGGCCTGGCTGAAGTGGACCTACTCTGGTGGTGAGCCCCTGCTCCCCTGGCTGTCCCCCACCCCTGCTCTGCTTTCTGCTCTTCCCTGTGGAGGAGGCACTTACAGCAGAGCCCCCATATTTTCTGGGCTTCCTGATTCAGGACCAAGGAGGATGAGGCAGCCCCTGACCGTAACTGGGGACCCTCCCTGAGGATGACTGCTAGCCTGGTCCCAGAGGAAGCTGGCCTGACCCAGCTGAGCCCTCTGCCACATGGGTGGCTACCCTGTGGTGGCCACACTGCATTGTAACTGGAGCTGCCCAGGCGCCAGCCTCGGGGTGCAGCTTGCCTGGTGTCGTCTCCTCCTAGGAACTGACTCTCTGTCCTTGTAGGGGATCTAGGTGAACCTAGCCCTGCCTGCTCCTGACTGCAGATGCCCACCCTCTTCTCTTTGCTTATTGCCCCAGCCTTCCAATCTGGCTCTCTACCCACAATATTAGGAGGCACAGTGCCAGTATGGCAGCAGGAACAGGGAGGCCTGGGTGATCTAGGCTCGGCTTCTCCTACTGCCTAGTGACCTGGTAGCCCCCTGGTCCCAGCCAGGCGGTGGTGGCAGGGCTGTGCAGTAAAGGCCCCATCCCAGCATGCATGTGGGCTGGCACAGAGCAGCTGGGAGCTTCAATTTCATGTTCACCCACCACCCTCAGGGAACAAGGCCTTCTGCAGAGGCAGATGGCCACAGGGGCTAAGTGTAGGTGGCAGGGACAGGGACATGTAGATAGCAACAGTATTATACTGGCCACTTCCTCGGGTTGGGTGCAGACCTAATGAGGGCCTGTGCCGTAATTGTCACTGTGTGTCCCTCACCTGGACAGTAGCCATCACGCATGCTAAGAGTGGGCTCAGCACTGGCTGTAAGGCTGGTCTGGGAGGTGGCTTTGGTCCCTTCCTGCCCTGTTGACTGAGGGGGCAGCTGTTCTGAGAGGACCGAGCGGAGGTCTTGACCAAGCCCCGAGTCCTTCCATCTGGTCTCGAACCCACTGTATGATCTGAATCGAGTCGCGGGGTCTCCTTCCTGTGTTCAGATGCCAGCTGTGGGCCAGGCTGTGGGCCGTGTACTGAGCATGCTGCTGTGAGTGACCCCCAGTGTGGTTGGGGTCCCTTCCAGAGCAGTAGCCTAGATGACTGGCTTCCCTAGGTCTGATGATCATCAACTTCCTGGGGTGATTTGGGGGTGTGCCCCCAGGATAGCCAGGGCCAAATGGTGAAGGGCTGCTCTCCTGGGCTCACACTGGCAGGCAGGACCAAGGCTGCCTTGGGAGCAGCCCACCTAGAGCCCACCTAGAGTCCAGAGCCGCTAGCAGTTGGACCAGGGCTGTTCGGGAGCCACATGAAGCATGTCATGTGTGCCACAGGCTGGGACACTCCTGATGAGGAGACAAGTGGGGTATCCAGCGTGGCCATGAAGCAGAGGGAGGGCAGGTGGCTTCCCTGTGGGCCTCAGTGGTCTCCAAAACCTGGTTACACTCCCTGAGAGTGGAGTGGGGTGTGGAGGTGGCTGAGCCCCTACATCTTATCCAAGTCTGTGGCCCCTTCTCTCTGGGCTCCATCCTTTCTGGATACCAGGACCTCTCCTGGGCAGAGGGTGGCTTCAGTGTCCAGTCTTGGAGGACAGCTCTATTTTTGCTTTCTGAGACGCTCAGGGATTGCCTGTCCCTGCCTGGCCTCTCCAGACTTTCCTCAGAGAAGAGGTTATTTGCTTCCGTTTGCCTTCAGTTTTCTGTGTTCTGCTCCAGGCTCAAAGGCTCCTGGGACCCCTCGCACTGGCCTTCATCCCACCCTAAATTAGGCCCATCCCCAAGGCTGCACTCCTACCTGTGTGGGACTCAGTAAGACCAGGAGGTGCCCAGCCCAGCCCTGGGCAGGGGTTATGGGGCAGTATAGACCCCTATTTCGGACCTGGTAGTGCCTGTTTTCTCCTCAGAACTTCCTGAGGCCTAGAAGCCTCTCCAGGGGCTATTGCTGAGCTGACCAGGGCCTCTGCCCCCAGGGGTGGGGCAAACATGGGTCTGGTGAGGGAGAGGGAGGGAATCTGGCTGGAGTGTTATGTTCTCGGCTCGAGGCCCTGCCTGCTTCTGGAACGAGCGGAACCTTCCAGATGGAGCCAAGCCCTTGGGGAGCAAGTCTGGGTGGATTAGGCCCCTGCCTCAAGACCTTGGAGCTGAGTGGTCAGAGACCAAAGACACAGCCATTCTGCCCAGGCAGGTCTGCTAGCCTTCCCTTTCCATGGATGAAATGGTGTCTGGCTGTCTGGCTCACAGGTACTCACTCATGCCCCCAAGCTGCCCCACCTGCTCCTCTGAGACCCACAGGACCAGGGTAGGGCACCCCAAGACCTGAGGCTAGAACACTCTGCTGCTTGCCCTTAGGTGGGCTGTGGCTTCAGGGAAGAAGTATGGCCCTTTCCTGAAGGCCAAGGTGGTCTTAATACATGCCTAGGGCTGCTTCTGGAGTAGATGAATCCCTCCCCCTGAGGGCTAGGAGACACACCCCTGGGAGGGTACACCTGCTTCTCTAGAGCTGGGACAGAGCTGCAGGAGTAGGGCAGTGTGAGACAGAGGCCCGCCCAATTCCACGACCAGGGTGGACATCCACCCTGGCCAAGGGCGGTATGTCCATCTTCAGTGGGTGGGTAACCTTCCTGGTCTGAGGGCCAAGGGGAGTCCTTGGAACCTAGGTCTGACCACTGAGAGGTTGTTGGCTTCTCGTAGCCCCACTAGACCCTTGAGGAAGAGAGAAAATGGAGAAATCTTTTGACAATTGCAACACAGAAAAGCCCGGTTTAATTTTCGGACTAAATTAGAAAAGGAAGGTACAAAGTTCTAAACCTTTTTTCTCTTCATTAAAAGTCTAATTTTTAAAAACAGACATTTTTTGGAGCAGTTTTAGGTTTATGGAAAAATTGTATCTTAAGTACAGCATTCCTGTATGCCCCCATGCCCTACACACTGCTCTGCTGTAATGAATATCTTGTATCCATGCTGATTATTGGTTGCAATGTTTGCTACAATGTATTTAGCAACATCGATACATTAGTAACTGAAGTCTACAGTTTACAGCAGGCATTGGGCCATGTTGTACAGTCCTGGGCAGTTTGACAAGATGCATGATGCTGCGTATCCACCATGGCAGATTCCTGTAGAATAGTTTCAGTGCCCTGGAAATGTCCAGCTGTCCACCTGGTATACCCCCCACCCCCAAACTACCGACCTCTTTACTGTCAAAGCATCACTTATTTTGTGATTCCACAGAGGGGGAATGGTGCTTTTCGTTAACTTGTAACCATGTGTCAGCCCACTCCCTGGGGTTCTCACCGGGAGCATCCCCCACCCTCACCCTGCAAAATGCACTTTGACCTGGTGTGGAGCTGTGTCTTCTGTCAGAACTGTGTTTAGTGGATAGAGGCCAAGAAGGCTGCTAAGTATCCTACAAAGAATCACCCAACCCAAAATACCAATGATGCGTAAAGTCTTATTTTTTATGCTTAAAAAAGAACTGCTTTTAACTGAAGCAGTCCTAAAAATTGGTAGATGCTGAGTGCTGGACGTGCAGCTGTTGAAGGGGCAGGTGGGGAGCTGGACTTGCTCCCCAGAAGCCCCTTGCTGTGAAAGGTTTACAGGACAAGCCTGGGGATGAGCCTCGCCTGCTTTGGGACCAAATCCTCACACACATGCTGCCAACTTTGGGAGATTCCATAAAGCCACCAACCTGCACACTTTTTAAATAAATGGAGGCTGTTGACCTGCATTGTAACCCACAACTTGGGAGCCAGGATCTACCCTGAGTCTGGGGTGCCAGGCAGGCCTGCTGCTGGTGAGTGATTGCACCTTGAAGGCTCTGGGGCAGTGGGGAGTGGTCAGCCTGTTGGGGTCCTGGGCATTCGGGGACAGCCTCTGTCCTCGCTGGGTCACATGCAGCCCCTGTCTGGGCACACACACATCAGGGCCTGGATGGGAGCAGGTGGCTGCCTGACATCCTACTCTGGGGTCTCCCTGGGCCCCCAGTACCCTAAAACCCTTTCTTGGGGAGGGCCTGCAAGCTGTGGGCATGGGACCCATGGCACGTTCTAGAAATACCCCTGGCACACACTAAGTGGGCCACATCAGGAGTCTGATCGAGACCTAGTGGCCCCCTCATCTCCACAGGCCAAGACCAAGGACACCCAGTGTCTCTCTGACAAGGGAGAGGCCTTGGAGCTCATCCCCACCTGTCAAGTACATGAATTTGTGAGGGTCCCTAACATGCAAGCATGCGGGGTGGACGCTCTTTACATTTGTTTGAAAGCCCAGAAATCCTACCAGACACTCAGCAGGGAGGCGGGGTGGGCAGCTCTAGGGTCTTAATTCTCCCTTTCTGTCTCACGCCCCTAGGTCTGGCCTTTCTGGTCTGCCCCCACCAGCTCTGCTGCCCAAAGCTCAGGACCCTCCTGCCAGCAGCTGCCATGGCTGGGCCCCCAATGAGGCGGATGGAGTGGGGACACAGCTGGAGATGGACACCCCACCTCCCTGCAGTGGGGATGGGCCCCCTGAGCCCCCCCCAGCCCTGGTGTCTCCACCTGCTGGAAGCCAACTGCCATATCCGCCATACTTTGAAGGTGCCCCCTTCCCACACCCTCTGTGGCTGAGACATACATACGGCCAGTGGGTGCCACAACCTCCACCCCGGACCATCAAGCGTACACGGCGGCGCCTGTCCCGAAACCGGGCCCCAGGACGGCTCATCATGAGCACCATCCGCCTGCGACCCCGCAGGGTCCTGTGTGAAAAGTGCCAGAGCTCACTGAGCCCCGAGCAGGCCAGCCCTGTCCAGACAGCCACCCCTGGGGCACCGCGCAGGAAGCTGGCCGGTGCCTCTGACCGTGAGCCCCAGAGGCATGATGTTCCCCCAGCCAGGAAGAGCAAGAGGGAGGAGGCACGGACTCCGGGGGAGGCCGTTCCACGGAGCCCGGTCATCACCATCTCCTACAGCAACCCCCAGGGCACTGGCGAGGTGGTGAAGATCCCCTCCCGTGTGCACGGCTCTCTGGAACCCTTCTGCCCCCTCCAGGTGCCCCTTGGGGGCAGTCAGGACCCAGAGGTTCGAGATGCAGAGCCCAGGACCAGTGGGGACAGGCTGCCAGGTGTGCCCACGACCTCCATCCCCAAGCTGAAGCTGACTCGACCAGCACCCTCTGGCCTAGATGCACCCCCTCCCAAGATTCGCCTGAAGCCACAGCGCCCAGGGGTCGGTGAACAAGAGCCTGTGTACAGGGCTGAGTTGGTGGAGGCGCAGAACGGCCACCCAGCTAGTCCCCCCACATTCTTTGCCAACGGTTCTTCCCGAGATGGGATGATGGATGTGTCTTCTGGAAGTTCTGGCGAAGAGGAGGATTTCAAGCGATTTCCTGGAGGGAAACCTGAGCGGAGTGACTTGGCCTTTCTCGTCAACTACCCAAGCGAGTCCATGTGCACCAGTGATAGCCTTGATGAGTCCAAATCGTCCAGTTCGGAGGGCATGCAGGCTGACCCGTGCGAGCTCTCACCTGGTGACAGTGTGCCTTTGCCTTCCTCCTCCAAAGACACACGCCCCATGGTCCCACCGCTAACGGTGAGGCTGCACACGCAGAGCGTCTCCAAGTGTGTGACTGAAGACGGCAGGATGGTGGCCGTGGGGGACATTGTGTGGGGTAAGATCCACGGTTTCCCCTGGTGGCCAGCACGTGTTCTGGACATCAACCTTAGCCAGAAGGGACATGGAGAACCTCCTTGGCAAGAAGCGAAGGTCTCGTGGTTTGGGTCTCCAACGACCTCGTTCCTGTCTCTTTCGAAACTGGCACCTTTCTCTGAATTTTTCAAACTGAGATTTAACCGGAAGAAGAAGGGAATGTACCGGAAAGCTATAACCGAAGCTGCAGACGCTGCAAGGCATGTGGCCCCTGAGATTCAGGAGCTCCTAACTCAGTTTGAAACGTGACTCTGGTTCCCAGATCAGGTGAGTGTGTGCTGGGGTGGGCGGCTTGACCTGAGGGAAGTGGGGACCCTCTGGGCTCAATCATGGGCTTCCAGCATCTGGCTGGCTACTCCGAGCGGGGCCATTGGAAACCGTCCTTCTCAGTGTCCTCAGAGCTGTGTGGCTCAAAAGTGACATTTTATCAGCAACACGAAGCTTGTTTGGCCGTTTTTCCAAAGCAAACACAAAAGATTTCTTTACTGTGCCAGCCCCAGGACTGTGCTCTGGAAGAGGAGGTGTGCTTTAAGCAGTGCTTGAACATGCGTGTTCAACACAGGTGGAGAACATGCTTGACTGGTAACTGAAAGGTTGGAGGTTCAAGTCCACCCAGAGGGACCTAGGAAAAAAAGACCTGGTGATATACTTCAGAAAACCTTTATGGAGTGCAGTTCTCCTGTAAGACACATAGGGTACCGTGTGGAGGGGCAGTCTGATGACAACTGGTTTTTATGGGTCCCAGGGCAGGGAGTCCTGGTGTGCTGTAGGGTTAGCAATTGACCTCAAGGTCAGTTTGATCCGAAAGGTCGGCAGTTCAAACCACCAGCTGCTCCTCGGAAACCCCGTATACAGTGTTGTTGAGTCAGAACCGACACAACCGCACTCAACAGCAACAGGGCAGGGAGCTTGCCAGGGGCCTCAGTGGGCGAGCCCACCCTCTCTCCAGAGACTTGAGCCACAGCCCCCACTGCCTTCTGCTCCCAGCTGTGCTGTGGGGTCTCAGTGCAGACTTAAAAGATCCCAAGGATCTCCCAGTCCATCCCTGAGCCCTTTGCTTTGGTGGTATCAGCAGGCACTGTGACCTTCTGGACAGTCCAGGTGCTCCAGGCTCCTAGAGGGCCCTGGCCTGTCCCCTGGTAGCGTCTCTTGCTTTGCCTCTCACCCAAGCAGCTAGAGTCACTGTCCAGCCAAGAATCGGAACAAGCATGGTGTGTCGTGGTCACTGAGAGTGTCCGTGGGAATACCTGGGGCTCTTATATCTCTGGCCTCGGAGATAACCCCTCCCCTCTTCTCCTAGCTAGTCCTGGGCAGCCCTGAGGATCTGGAAGCCCAGACTCCCTGGGAAGGGACAGGAGGGGCTTGATGGGTCTTTCCTGATTATCTCTCTGCTCCTTGGCCTGGTGGGGCCCCCACCCAGGAAACAGAGTTGAGGGGCGTGCTGTACACACCTGGGCTTCGGCTGGGTTGACCTTCAGGTGACCTTGGCATCCCTGGCTCATCCCACCTGCAGGTGACCAGGCCTTAGAGGGAGCAGGTCTGTGGGTCCCTTCACTTGGGTGTCACATGACATCCAGGTCAACAGGAGGGAGGGCACGCTGTGGGCTATCTGGTCTGGGCCAGGCCACTGCCAGACGCTCTTAGATGTCCCCAGCACCCAGGCTGTGGTCATACTGTGAATCTTAACTTTTTGCTCAAACCAGGCAGCCAGCCAGTGTGGGGCCTTTGTGCTGGCAGGGGACCCTGCGGATGAGTCGGGGGTTGGGGGTGGGGGGGTGGGCTCGGACTTGGGGACGACTCTCAGAAAATAGGGTTAGATTCCCCCAGAGTTCTGCTGCTGTGGCCACACTGGGGACCACCAGTTGTTGGTGTTTCTCTCAGCCACTGTCCTGTCCACTCACAGGGCCATCTTCAATCTGGCCAGTGTGGAGGCTGCTTAAGGACCTGGGTACACCTCTAGGCCTCCCTCAGTTGTGGGGGCTCTGGAAGGTTGGACATTTGGAAGACTGTGTGACTGGCTTGTTTATCTGGAAGAGGTGGGAATCTCACCCAACGGGTTTGGCTGCAGAGCCAGTGGGGGGGACCTGAGCCTCCCACTGGCTGGGTTGGTGGTTTGTAGGGGCGTGGCTCTCAGGCCTGGCCACCACCAGCTCCGGCTGGGGTTTGGACTGCCTTCTTTGGGAGGGGAGTTCCCGTGGGAGGGCCCCAGCAGAAGAAGTGGGGGGTGCTGAGGGACGGTTGTGAGAGGAGCCAAGTGAGGGGGCACCTCCTGGAGGAGGGGGGGCTTGTGTGGTTCCTGTGTTCTAGTCTGGGGTGGGATCTGGAGCTGGCTGGCTCTGTTTGGGGGTGTCAGTGTCTGTTTGGGGGTGTCCTGCCCACAATAGTGGGACTATGCTGTCTTGTTCCCAAGAGAGACACCTCTACTACCCCTGACACCCCTGCCTCCCAGTGGCTGCAGGTCAGCTGACAAAGGGCTGGGCTGCACGCAGCCTGGACTCTTGCTAGGTGGGTATATGTGACAGAGTCTAGCGGTCGCCCAGCAGAGTCTCAGATCCTTCCTTGGTCACATCTGTGAAATCCACCTGTGGGGCACTGTGCAGCTGTCTCTCACCTCACACACAGAGCACCTGCTCTGAGCCCCCATTTTATAGAAGGGAACACTGAGGCTCAAGGTGGCCAGGGGCCTGCTCGGGGCCATGTGGCTCTTCTGGCGGTGACAGTGGACCTCAGACCTATGGGCCACATTGCTCAGGGATGGAGGAACCCGCTTTTTCAGAAGGGTCCCCCACTGCCAGGCTGGGGAAGCCTGGGAACAGACCACCACCCTGGAACACAAAAGTCTACTTTTGACTTTTAGCCTCAAAAGTGTCTATTTCTCCTGGGAAGGTAAAGATGCCGGTCAGGAAAGCCGGCCCCAGAAACCCTCAGTACTGGTGGTGATCCCCAGGGATTTGGCGGGGTGGCAGCAGAGTGTGGCTGGAAGACTGATGTGTGGGTGTGCTGGCTGGTGGCTTGGGCCCCCAAGCTTGGTTTTTGCTTGTTCCCTCTGGAACAGTCTCAGGGAGCGATGAGTCCCAAATCAGCTTTTCTCCTCAGCCCCACTTTGAGTTCAAGGTCTAGTTTCCGAGGACAGTTTTCAGCCGACTTTAAGCAAACAGCCCTGTGTGGGGGGTGTAATTATTTTGTTCTAGAAGGAAACAAAGCTTGTCATATGAAGTCTATGCTGCCTCTCAGTGTCCGGTCCCTGCCACCTTCTTTGAGCCAGAGCAAGAGGGGCTGCCCAACTGGGGGATTGGGAAGCGGGGATTGGAGGGGTCTCCAGCATGACAGGAGGGTCTCTGATTGCCCAGTTACCTGCACCGTCCTGGCCCAGCCCCCATCCCAATCGCCAGCCGCCTTTGCTCCACAGAAGAGGCGTCTCCAGTGCCTCCTTCATCCCCACCTTCTCCAAATATTTATCCCGGAGCCCTCGGGACTTCTGCATTCCTAGACAGCCCAGGGTCAGGGCGGGGGCGGGGGTGTTCCCTCAGGAAGCCCTGGAGAAGAGGTGGGCTGAGTCCCTGGGTGGGACCTTCTGTCTGCCCCCTTCCCCACCCCTCATGGTTTTATAGACCAGGAATTTCTTGTCTTAGGTTCTGGGGATGTGTGGATTCCCTCTGGGCCTCTCCTGGGCTCTGGTGGCTGCCGGCCATCTTCGAGGTTCCTTGGATGCTTGTGGCTCCTCTCCACGTGACTGTGTCTCTGTCCCATATAAGGTACCACACAGAGGGTCTAGGACGAGGACCCACCCCACTCCAGTGAGACCTCGTTAATTTCACTGATGACAAACGAGAGACCCTGTGTCCAAACAAGGTCGGTTACAGGGGCAGGAGTTAGGACTCTGACATATCTTCGGGGGGAACGGGGGTGGGAGGGGCCTCTAGCCCACCTCCAGGCTGTTTCCATGTCTGCCCCCCTGTGCTGGATTCTGCCCAGGAAAGGAGCCTCCTCTGAGCAGCGGGCAGGGTGGAGCTCTAGGCAGGCCACGTGTCAAAGACAGAACCTCGGAGCCATAATTAAGGGGCGTTGTCAGACCAGTAAACTGGAAGCCGGGAGCACTTGTCTCCCTGACCAGTTAGGGGGGCAGGGAAGCCACAGTCCCCGCTCATTGGCAGATTTCTGAGGGGCTAGGTATGCTCATGGGGTTCAGAAGCTTGGAGCTTGGGGCGCAGTGAGGGAGGGTCCCACTGGGATCATCTGAATTAACCGTTTCTTTGGGGTGAGCTGAGTCACACTAAGGAAGGGGCCCTGGGCTCCACTGACTCCCAGCCCGGCCTTGGTGCATTTGTCTAATGCGGGGCGAGGCTGGTGGATACTTCACAGCATTTCCATAGGTCGAGGGTTGTGGAGACAGGCTGGAGCATCTCCCATGTTCTCTGCTTTCTCTGAGAGAAGCCATGTGGTCTTTGATTTCCCATGGATCTCAGCTGACACAGGTGGGACATGGGATGTTGGCAATCACTTGCGCCAGCAATACTGACCTTACGGCGCCCACCTGCTGACCACATCACACAGGCTACTCCCAGCGGTTCATCAAGGGGAGAAGGAACATCACAGCACATGGAGAGGGGCCCCACCCAGTGTGGACAGTCCTCCCTGGACACGGGTTGGGCCTGGGTTCTGGGGCCAGCCTCCCTGCTGGGTGACTGCCATTCGTGTTATTTCACTCACCTTTGAGGCCTTGGAAAAGCAGGACCCTCCAGATATGTGGATGCACAAATGTACCCCATGTGTGCTCATAGACCCCCATGCATGCACATATCCATATACACTGACATGTGTGCACCCCACATACACATGCCTGCACATGCATGCTCATAGGCACACGCTCACTGTACATGCATATACCCGTACACGCACACACGTAGAGACCCACATGCATGCACACATCCATATTCACATACACCGACACTTGTGCACACCCCCTCATGCATATAGACACGCCTGTGCATGTCAGTGCATGCATGGTCATAGACACACACTGTGCATGCATGCATGTACTCATGTGTACAGAGACCAAGGTGTCGGCACACCGCCACACATGTGCATACGCACATGCATACACCAATATAAGTGCACATGTGTAGAGACTGATGCACATGCTCATACCCATATGTGTACACACAAGCATACATGCCCACTGCATACAGAGACACATGCATGCCGATACCCACGTATGTACACATGGGCATGCATACACCCAGACATGT